TCATTACTCTCCACCAAGAAAGAAAAACAGACCGAAAAAGGGAGTGTCTTTCATTAAAGTCATCATTATTCATGTCTTTACGATATATCACTTTCCTTATTTTTCTGTTTATTCCAAGGTGTTGTTGGTTTTTTTTCAAAGTTTTTCTTTTACATTAAAAGGGATGGAAAGTGAAACAATCGTGTAATTGAATTAATTAAGGGTAAATCATATCCCCTACCTACTTCCCCCAACCCCTTAAAAGGAGAATATCACATTGGTGGTACTCTTTAATTTCCCCTTACTTTATTTATCAATAAAAAGGCAAACAACGAATTCTTTCACTCTTTATAAAATGGATCTACCAGAATGCGGAAGACTGGCATAGGCAGATGGATAGATAGATAGATAGACATACAGACAGACACACACAGACAGACAGATAGAGGAAGGGGCGGAGGTGGAGCGATGTATTTGCACGTATAGGTGTGGAAGCAAAAATTGGTGTAAATAGATTTCCACGTCTTTTTTTACCGTTTTGTCTATTCATTTTTAAAGTTTTCTTTATTTGTTTATTTAAGTGATAATTAATAGTAGTAGCAGTAGTATATTTATTTATTTAAGTAAAATACATAGTTTAATTAAATGAAACGTTGCAATTATCATTAAAGTTTTATTCTTCCCTATAAACTTTAATAAGAAATGAAAAGGAGAAAGAAGAAGGAAGCTAGAAAAGTGACACAGAAGTATCAATAATTAATCACTTCACTGTTTAGATATTCGAAATTACATTGATGTATAAACTACTCATCTATATCCTTATCTTCAATGGGAATGAGAATTGTATCATTTGAACTCACCTAGGTGCATAAATTGTGTTCGCCTAGCAAAAAAGCATAGTCAGGTGGGGCTAGAATTTGGGCTTCTAGAAGACACTCATCAGCAAGGTGTATATCTGAGATCTGGATCAAAATCACCTAAGACTGTAGTTAGAAATATCACTGTGCGTCGGTGGTACAGTGGTTAGGACTCTCGCCGACCATGCACATGGTCCGAGGTTCGACCCCTCGCCGACGCACACCTCTGATATCTATGGTCGGCCTGCAAAATTTGGGCTACCGATATCCATGCTGAAAATTCCACACTTGTCCCAAAAATACGGTGTGGAATCAAGCTGTAATCAAAAATAAAAAAAATAAAAAATTTGGGGTCACAAATGACCTCCTATAGTTATTTATTCATAGCTCTGAAGTTATTAATCCATCATAAGTGTTTGATACTCCAACAATGCAAAACCATCGTCCCACTTCAGGATACTCAGATAACTAGGTGAGTGTAAAGGGATAGAATTCAGTTGCTCTAATCCTGTCAGACATACTATTTAAATGTTTAGTGTACATTGGTAGTTCATTTCGAGGAGGAATTCCTGAGTTTGTAATCTGAAGTTGTGCTTGACTGATTTCACCAAGTTTAGCGGAAGGACAGATTGTCATCTATGACACTAAATGACATTAAGACTATATCTTGAATGAACAAAAACTGAGATGCATAGATTATTGAATTCCATTCATTTGACTGAAGGATAACAGAGTTGCCTTGTAAGCCAAACATCCTGAGTGTGGCGTAGTGGGTTCGTACTGCTAATACGTTCTAGACTAAAATGGCACAACTGTCTGTTGCTCTATGGTTGCCAGTGATTTTGTAAATGATGTTTTCTTAAAGAAGCAGAATTAGACATTTCATCGGCAAATAAACATTAGTTGCTTGTAATTTTGGTTGATGGTGACTGGCAGTGGAATCCAGGATGTGGAACTCCTCTTAGTTAGCACTTGTCAGCTGAACGTACCTGTTCTCACTTAGGGTCGAACCCTAGTAGATAATTCCCTGGCGTTTGAAACGACAGGTGGACGGTGGAAGTCTAAATCCAAACACCATCACTTACTGGAAATTCAGACACATCCAGATGACAAGTCCTAAATAAATAAGACAAAATGTGCATCTTAGAATCGATTACCCCCGACCATTAACCAAAATAAATTCACACTAATTCTTAGACATCATCGAAGCATCCATACTAGAAGCCAGCAGTTCAATAGAGACTGAACATTTCAGTGCAGCAGAAGTAATCAATGGGAAATACAAATTAACCGCGTGTTTTTTTTAACTGGTGGATGGTGACTAGCAGTGGAATACAGGATGCGCATTTCGCCCTATTTGAGACTTATCAGCCATCTGGATGTACCTGAATTCCCCAGTCAGTGAGTGAGGATGTTCCCACCACGGAGGCTCGAACCCAGTGCTTATAGTTTCAAACGCCAAAGCGTTATCCACTAGACCACTTGAGCCACGAGAGCCACCTCTTGGATTCTAGATTTTTTTAAATTTCTTTAATTGACAGTTTTCGTGCACTTCTAATTCGATCATTCAGTTGTTGTCTTGGTTTCTATTTTACTTTTTTTCTGACTTGGGAATAAATCAATCATTTAAGCATTCGCATTTAGAATGAAATAGTCATTATTAATAATTACTGAATGATTTTTTTTAATTTTAACATATGTATCAGTAAGTAAGTATTCATTGAATAGGGGTTCAACTATAGGACTGTTCATTTTGTGTGATTAGTAATGCATCCATATACACAATGCCTTATTTCGTATGTGTTTCTTTCATTCGTGTTGATGTTATTGTTATTATTAATATTATTACTGTTGTTGTTGTTGTTGTTACTGGTTAAGTTACCCGCATCCGGATGAATGAACACTAATGAATTATGATTACATAACACATACATTACTACTACAATGAATACCTTAATACATAGTACATAGAGAAATAATAATTGATGAAGAGAAATCTCTCCACAAAAGTTTGACAGACAAAAATAGAATAGGACATACAGGCACTTATGCGCGCACACACACACACACACAAACATGCAAACTTTGAAGATGAGAGAATGGCAAACAGAGAGAAATAGCGAGAGGCAGAGAGGCAGAGAGAGAGAGAATGAGTGAATGGATAAGAGGAGAAAACAAACAAACAAAGTGAGCATAGTTTTACAATCCTTCTGTATTACTTTTCACTTTCAATTAGTTAATCAGTCAAAGAAGAAACGGGAAAATATTTTCACCATTTTTATCATTTGGTTTTTATTCTTTTTGATAAATAGACTTTATAGATTTAGTTGTATTTTGTTTTTTTTTTACTCTGTCATCCTTCATTTAGCATGTTTTCATGTCAGACCCTTATTTTATACTTGATATTATTAAATACCTATAGTCTCTCTTCCACTCTCCAGCTCTTTGTATACATAATATGAAAACTTTTGACTGACAGATATATTTTCATATGACTAAATGATTTGGCGGCGCTGAAAAGAGCATTTGCTTTTTCCCATCCCTTTGCATCTCAGTCGGAACACAGAGCTTTGAGCTTGAGATTTTAATTCTCATTAGCAGTGCTGTTGTGTTTCTGTTTTTACTGGATGGGGGTGCTAACCAAGCACGTCCAACCTTCTCGCTTTACAGGGTTTACCACCGGCCTAAGCGAGATTTGGGAATCTGTTGACAGGGAATCGAGCCAGAACCATATATACATTTTTGATTATAGCTTGATTACACACAGTATTTTTGGTACAAGTATGAAATTTTCAGCCCAAATTTTGCAGTTGTGCATTGGCAGGAGATCGAATCCCGGACCATAGGCATGATTGATGAGAGTCCTAAACTCTATGCCAGCGACGCACCGATGCACGTATTAGTCGACGAGTATGTCTACTGAAACTAGGGTATTTGATAATGATAACGATAATTTGCTTTATTCCAAAAACAGTACTAATGATACAGCAAGGAATTTTCAGCATTCAGTACAATATTGCATCTAATTTGCTCAAAAAAAACGACAAAAAGTATAATAAAAATAAACATTACATAATAAAGTTAATAAAACGTTGTTATAGCAGCTACATAGCAAATTACTGTATGCCATACGGAGAAAAATATGCATAAAGTACAAAATTGTAGTAATAATAGTAATAACAACTAAAATAAAATAGCAGAGTTATAATTAAACGATAGAAAGTGTGACATCATAAAATACAGAAAGATGAACAATGAAAGGGTCGATTCACTGTGCTAATTACATAGTAACTTGTAAGTTTCACGTCTAACAGAGTCTTCATCACATAAAGTACGGGCTAAATAGGGTATTGTAGAATTTCTTTACTTAGTGGTACGAGCATATAACTTTTTATATTGACTTCTCGTCCTACCTGATGAGATACAGGGGGAGAGGTGTGAATAAAGGGGGTGCAGAGTGTTTGACAGTACAGCCTTTGCCCATTTTGTACAGGAATTTATATGCCTCTTGACTATAGTATTGGCGAGCTCACGCAGTGGCAGGCCACAAGCCCTAATCATAGCATTTAATACTCTTCGTAATATGATATAGTCTTTTTGAGAAGCCCAGGAAAGATTAATGGAGAGCAATAAAGTACAATAGGTAAAATACAAGAGTTTAAAAATTGCAAAACTAAAGGTTGGTTGATACCTGATTATCTTAACTTTTTTAAATGTAGAAGGTAAGACGAAACATTTTCTTAGAGATAGATAAGATGTGGGATGACCATGAAAGGTCAGAGGAAAGAACTAATTAAAGGTATTTAATGCTGCTTGAGTTGGTTTCAATTTCCATGCCATCTATGCTACAGGCATGCATCATGCGAACTAACTAGTTCATGTAAGTCACGTTGATGCTTGAAAGTAAAGTTAACTGCCTGACATTTGGAAGGATTTAACATAAGACCATTTGACTTAGACCACTTGCTGATGTCCAACAGAAATGTAGATCAGGAATGAGTATCTGCTACCACACTCCACTACATGAAATCCATGAATTATCAGTTATGAATAAGTTGAAGTATCTAATCTTTTACCATCCGCCTTGTTGTTGCTTTACGCTATTCTCATTGTTCTCATTTCCTCCTATGTTCCTTCTTTCTATATTCTTTTCTTTTTTTTCAGTACTTTCCTTTATCGTTGTGCTGGATGTCATCGATTAATTGATAAAATGGATCTTGTATTTCGTATACGTTCGCGTACATTTCACTTGGATTGTTTTCGTTGTGTTATCTGTGAAAGATTATTACAACCTGGTGAAGAGATCGCTTATAGAAATGAACAAGTCTATTGTTTATTACATTCACAAATTATGAATAAATTTTCTAAATTAGACAATTATAATGATCTAAATAATGATAATAACAAAAATAATGATGGTAACAATGATACTACTAATAATGGTAATAATAATAATAGTAGTAGTTGTAGTAATAGTGTTGTTAACAATGAAAATGAGATAAACACTAGTCAAACGAGTACTTCTACTAATAATACGAATAACGCCAGTAATGATAACAACGTTCATATTACAAATCTTATATCAAATAACCAATTCATGATTACAAATTCGACCATTAATAGTAATTGTAATAATAATACTCAAAACCATACAAGCAATAATAGTAACAATATTTGTAATATGAATCGATTATTGTCAGAACAAATGAAAATGAACCTCCTCAATAATAATACAAGCAATAATACTCCATTTAAAATTAACACTACGAATACTACTGCTAATAATAATAACAACAGTAGTATAAATTCATCTCAATCAAAATATGATAATCATCATTATAATGAATCTCTCATCACTGATGATATGAAAAGCTTGAAATCTGATATCAAAGGTCTTTTACCAAATTTATTATTAAATCAAATCGATGATATGCCTTTGATGAATATGAAGTCTGTTTATTGTAGTGGTAATAATAGTAATAATAATCATAATAACAATAATAATAGTAGTAGTAATGGTATCGAGTTAATTCATGATATTGAAGACAATATAGCTAATTATGAGAATTTATGTAATCCTGTGAATTTTCTGTCGACATCCACGTCAACATCACTGCCATGTTCATCATCACTGTCATCAGCGGTGTCAACGGCGTCATTAACGCAGATGACTCTCAGTAATGGTAATAACAATAATAATAATGGTAACGTTAATGATTGTGTTAATAAGCTATTAAATCAACGAAATTCACTATCGAATTGTAATAATATTATTAGTGGAATGAGTGAAAATTTCTATCCTAATTCACCAGACAGTTCATTTGGTGCTGTTATTCAAGATATGGGTAAGTAATTGTTACTAACAGTATTTAATATAATTATTACTTTATCATAGTTTATAATAAAACTGTAATTATTTTTGTATAGTTCCGAAGAACTATAGGATATGCGTATATTCATATTTAGATTATGAGATTTTATGACGATGTGAATTAATTTCAATGTCGATTTTGACATAAATCCAAACATCAATCTCCAACTCATTGATGACTATTGGATGGATGTTATGAAACTGTACTGAGGGGGGCAATGCAGACTTTTCAAATGGCAATGAGGAAACAGGCATAAAATGAACTCACACAAAAAATTTGGAGGATCTGGACTTCGCCGATGACATATATATGTCTGATTTCCCACAAACTGGAAGATATGCAAGTGAAAAGCGACAAGTTGGCAGAAGAAGCATCCAGAGAAGATAGGACTTCAGGAGAACATAGATAAAACAGAGGTGATGAACATTCCTGGCCAACACCAACAGCAACAACAGACAATAATCAGCCAGAATATATGGGAGGAACCTGAAAGAAACAACCTCCTTCACCTACCCACCTACCTGGGAACCATCGTTTCAACTACAGGCAGACGGAACTGACGAGGATGCCAAAGCCAGAATCGGGAAAGCTAGACAAGCTTTCATTACCCTTAAGTCTGTGTGGAGATCTACAGCACTCCTCAGAGTGAATAATAAGATCCGGATTTTCAACTCCAATGTGAAGTCAGTCAGTGCTACTCACTATACGGATCAGAGACTTGCACTGTGCGTCATAAAGAGCATCTCAAACAAACTTCAGACCTTCATTAACAGTGGTCTTCGCTCAATACTCAAGATCAGATGGCCGGTCAGAAAAGATCAGCAAGAGGGATCTCCGGCAGTGAGCGAACCAACGCGGCAGGAACCGATTGCGAAACAAATTTGCAGAAAGAAATGGAGATGGATTGGCTGGCCATACTCTGAGAAAACAAACCATCAAGTGGCATCACCATACAAGCCATTTCTCGAGTGGAACCCGAAAGGGAAGCGGCGAGTTGGTCGTCAGTGTGAGGGTGACATGGAGGAGGTCATGTGAAGAGGAGATGAAAGCATGTGGGCAGACTTGGAGTGGAGTGAAAAGTTGGCAGAGAACCGAAGGCAACGGAGACGCGTGGCTGAAGCCCTATGTTCCTCTAGGAATTAAAGGATATAATAATAATAATGTCTGCTATCATGCAGATGATTCTGATTAGAAGACTTCATCGGATAAACCAAAGTTGGATGATGGTTTCCCAGTGATGATAATGATGCCATCCAAAGTAACTCATGCTTTTGAAGACGAAACAAGTAGTGTGTGAACTGGATACACCTCCCTGCACAATGTAGTATCACTGCATAGTTGATCATCACTGGTAGTTGGCAGAATGCATTAGCTCAGAGAATAGTCCACCCCTCCGCCTAATGTATGTGTAAAACTTTGTCTGTCAGGATTGAAACTCGTAGACTTAAGTATTTAGGAATGATTTCATTTTTCAAGTATCGAATGTTGAAAATACGGTGATTTTCATATGTTGCGTCAGTCTGAGAAAGTCGTGTGAATTTATTGAATAAACTTCTAACAGGAAGACCATGAGTCATATTAATGTATGTGTAAAACTTGGGCACTGTGGTAGTAAGTAACTCCATATTAGTTTGTTTATCAGTGTTCCTCAATTAATAATCGTCAAAAGAAGACATCGAATTACTTCATTGAATCGGTGACATTTTATTTGGAACAAATAGATATTGACTGGTTGACTAAATGGGATCCTCCAGTGCAAACAATCGACAGTTGAAGAATTATGGTAAAATAACGAAAATCTTTGCTGGTGTTATGCTTCTCTCCACTCACTATCTTATACTGCATTCAGATATTTTTGGGTTTGCATTGATTTCGGATTAATTTTAGTGTGAATTTCATCAGGAATCCTGTCTTTAATTGGCTAAAGTTAAGCTTCATGGGTCACTAGACTTCACTCTAGTGGCTAAATGGTTATCTGGCTTGCATTGTAACTCAGACATCGTGGATTCTATCCTTAGTGGGATAGTTGTTGTTCAATGTTGAAAAGTCCAAGACTAGGACGAAGCGACTATTCATTGCCCTTTAGTTTTCAGTGATTCTGTAGGTGATGTTGGTTCTTAACAGAATATACGCTGAAAAAATCCTTTCGTATATCAATAATATTTGGTAGCATGATTACGTTTCCTTTATCCATATTTATGTATACTTTTTCAAAATGTGGCGATTCTAAAATGTACTTTTTACCGAAGTCACATGTTGATATATCAGCCAGTTAATCTGACTTACAAATGAGGTAAATTCAGTCAGATTTGATAAATTTTCAATAAACTAAAAGTAGATTTGTTTATTTTTAACGAAATGAGCCTAATTTTTTTCGTCTACATACCAGTATTTTTCTAATTAATCAATCTATTCGCCAGTAGTATTCACGGGTTTCATCAATATTTTCCTCCTAAATTTGTAATCTAACAAATTACTTGTTATTTAGTGATGGTTACTCAACGAAACCAGATAATTACAATTTGGTTGGAGGGTTCCATCATGAGCTGATATCAGTTAGAGAACCATTGGAAAACCTACAGGGAGTAATGGACAGCTGTTTCGTCTTGGTTTGGGACTCTTCATCAGTACTCACCCACCGCAAGGGTTCAAACCCAGGAGCTTCTGGTTAAAAGGCTAGCGAGCTTGTAGACCATTAGGCCACTGGAACCCGATCCAATGGCCACCCATTCCATGAATTCTAACTTCTGCCTACTGATCTCAGCTCATGATGAAATCCCCCATCCAATCAGACAAAAATCCCTACTAGACCAATACTTGAAAATTACAATTTTATTTTATTTGTCAATAAAGTAGAATGAAATCTTTAAATAACTTCATTTTAATTGAAGAACTACTTGGTTCAATGTTCAACATATTACTTTTAAACTGCTGATTAAATGGTCAATATTTTTTTAATACGATATTTCCGTTCTTTAAAAGACAACACAACAAAACACAACTGTAGTGGACGTCCACAAAAGTAATGGAATGAAAACATTTTTCACTTTAAGAAAATACTTTATGTGATGTATAGTGAAGAAAAAGATGACAAACTGGCACACATTTCAGATGTGACATTCACTTATGACGAGTGATGTTAAAGCATACCTCAAAATACACCAGTTTGAATGGTAGCTATTAAGATATGAACAAAAACGACAAATTTCTAGTGTAATAGGCTCCATATACTAGCACGAAATCATGAAGAGGCACTTTTATATACTACCTAACCCTGAAACCTATTGCCTGAATATTTATGCGTTGGAATTGGTGAATATGGGAATATGCTTTAAGATCACTCATTTATGATTATAATATTCACAGTATTCACGCGTAATCCATGTGAATTGGAGAATAGTGTTAGTGGAAATGAGTTGAAGGAAACTTCCAGTGTCTCTCTATTTAAACTACTACTATTACTCGACTGATCATTTACATTAGTAGTGTATACGGTACAAATTGTAAACTTGGTAAATCCTAAAAAGATAGCAGGTATAGTTGCTTGATATGAGTAGGCGGGAACCACTGATGTCGACCAGTAGTACTTGATTACCATATGAAGGTGATCTAAACCCCAAGATCTTTTGAGCGTCATCAGTGCTTACGAACCATTGATATTAGTCAGTATTTTACATAGGAGGTACAGTTGTAGAATACTTGAAAACCAAGCAAGTGGTCCAGAACTGACTTACTCCTAAAACTCGCTTTGTTTACCGGCCAGTAATAAACCTGGCAAAGAAGTAAGGTTTGGAGTGAGACTAGTAACCCCACCTAGTGAAAAAATAACCAACAATGCCACCACTACCGTACCTTCAAAGCTCATAGCTCGAAGTCTTGGAGTGAAAAACGTAGTGTATACATCATCTTACTATCCTTTCTAATCACCTTTTTAAATGGTATCTATAGTACCAAACAGATCACATTTAAGGTTTCTTAAAGAAACTGAGTGCACCGTTGGCACTACGTAGGTGGTCCAGGATTCAATCCCCGGCCATGGGCTCAATCCTTTACCTCGCTAAGCCAATAATAAGACTGGTAAAGAGAGAAGGCTGGACATGAGACTAACAACCTCATCCTGTAAAAATACACACCACTGTTGCTACCGAAACTTCAAGCCTCTAGCTTGCAGCCCCACATGGTCTACTGGGAACACAAAGGAATAAAAGAGGAAAAAATAATGAGGCTAATCTTCACCTGAAACTATGAAATTCTCTTAAAAATAGCAAATTTTATCCTTAGATATTCTTCGTGGCTGGCAAACTTGAGGGGAAAATCTCAATTTACCACATAATAAATATTTCAACACCGACCTAGCTATCTGTCAAAACGAAATATAAAAATTTATTGTTACTTAACCTCACGCTTTATTTCAGTAAAAATTGTCTAAGTGACGAAAAAAAGAGAGAAAAAAACACAACGACAACAGCAGCAGCAGCAACAACGTAGAAATAAGCACCGCTGTTATCAATTGTCAAAAATGAATACATACAAGTAATGCGTTAGGGTTAGGTCATTTTAATGCATTTCATACTATTTCAATATTAATGCATTATCATTACTATTATTAGTATTAGTTAGTTAAGTAGGTCAACCTTAGATATTAAATAAGTAAGTAAACAGGTATAGTGAGTAAGCATTATTTTATTTTGTCTTCAGACGAGGGAGTAAGTAACTACTACTTGTCAGTCAGTCAGATAGTTAGTTGGTTAGTTAGTTAGTTAGACTAATGCAGGCAATAGTGTTAATGTGTTTCCACTTCCCTATTATATAATTTCATCTCTATTTGTATGAACTGATTGTGGTAATAGCGCATTATAATAATGATAATTACTTTTAAAATACCCACCTTCTTTTTAGAAAAAAAATACTTATTTATGCAGACAAATGTATTTCACACAGTATTACATTAGTAAATAATTAGCATTGGAAGG